TTGGCATTTGCTAAGCTTAACTGCCCCAAACTTTTGCACCAATCCGACGGCTCTGTTCCCGGTACGGACCTTAGATCTGTCTGCCGCCAGATGCAAGTGTGGGGGCCCTCCATGCTGCCAACCCTTGGCTAACCCTCATTGAAGGTCTCGTCTGCCTGGGAATGGAAACATTTCGAGAGGTCAAAAAAGGCACATGGGACCGCATACGCTATACCAACATGAACCATGGGCCCATCCAAATGCCGGGGAACCTGGGGGAAGAGGAGGGGTAAAAGGAATCTCGCCCAGGAAGACGCGGGGGAGCAATGTCCATGAGCCATGGCGCGCCATTTCACGCACGATGCCCGGGGATGGTCTTGGAAGTTGATCTACCTCACAGTCTCGGAGCCCAAAAGTTGAATGTTAGACGCCGAACACTCGCCGTCCCTTGATTGACTGTCGATGCCCTTCAGCACTGCCCTGCGGGGTCATTTCTCGGCACTCACCAAATGTCTGGGCATCGCCAGACGATCTCAAAATCCAACATGTATCGCCGGAAGATATCGCGGCGAAAAAAGAGTCGTCGGCGGCTACAGAAACGGATGTCGTTGAGATTGACGCTTTTCCGGCCCTGAGCCTCAACATGCTCTTGATGAGGGGGATTTGCAGTCCAGGGCCGGGGAGGAGAAGCGAAGGGGGGCAGGTTCCGGGGCGCTGGGCAGCGAACTTGCGGCATGGGGCGCAAGGTGCAATGCGGCCCTAGAGCGCACCACAGGAAGCGTTGAGGAGCAAGGTCCAGCCTCCAACGGCCCCAGCCAGAATCCAGTGGCTGCCACCTCAAGGGCCGGCAACGCAAGTTTCAGTTAGGGGCGGTTGCGCCGTGAGGCCATGGTGCCAGGTGGGTGTGCACACAGCGTTGGTGTGACTAGCGATCGGCTGGTGGGTAGGGCAACCTGAATCTCGCCGACGTAACAACTGCCAGCCATTACGAGTGGAAGTGATCTTTCAGGCTGTTTCTCGAAATGGCCAGCCTCGGATGAGGAACTGGATGCTTCCAATCTGGAAGTGCTGAGTTTTCTGTCTCATCATCCACTGAAGCGTACGGCCAATTGAGCCAAGGTTCACATTTACCCAAAGAGGCCATTACTTCTTCTCTGCTCGCTAGAAAACAAATGGTATCATAGAGGAAATTTTCCGCCAGCTGATAACGAGACAGGCCCAGTATCCCTTCAACCAACCTCGGACGAACTTTTCCCATGCCGAATGACTACGCAGCCAGCGTCCTTACCTTCTCAAATGGCTTCTGCTCATCAATCTCTTCTTCGCTAAACCAAGTTCCATGCAATCCGTACGGTACACGCTGCGGCAACTTGATCCGAGCCACAACCCCCTTCATTTCTTTCGCGTCAATTATCCACAACTCGCTCGCGGCCTCGGGCACACATTCACCCTGTTCATCGAGCTGATCTTCATTAAACACGTATGTCAACAACCAACCGTCGTCCTCGGAGTCTGGTTCACGCCGAGGCACAAATCTTGGCTCTTGCGCATACCACCCGACGGGCATTCGGAAGAGCTTGATAGGGTCTTGAGGATCCTGGCTCTCCATGACCTGGGCAATGCTACGTGTATCGACACAGCCTTTCACCGGCTGTGGTGGTTGTGCGACGCCTCTTGCTATCAGTGTTCGAACGTCGAACTTGGCCAAGTGGTCGATCTTTGCAGCTTTGCCAAGGGCAACTGTATAAGATGCCTCGCCGGTTGAGCATCCGTAAACGTATCGAGCTTCCTGCATTGAGTACGCTGGTGCGACGGATGGAAACTCCAAGGAAATGGCCGATAGAGCCCACTGGTGTCTGATGTTGTATTGGATCCCGGGGATGGCCGACAGTGGGAAACTGTAGTAATACAATCGGCACTGCTCCTCCTCAGCGTACTCAGGAGGCACCGGCTTCATCTCTGGCGTGGGAAGGTTGCCGGCGCTGAAAACCATGGATGCGGAAGTAAGCCGACAGGCCACGAGATTAACCGACACACGAGGACCGTTCACATCTGTCTGCGATGAAATCGACTCCCAGCAGTTGGCGGTGTGAAAAATTGTGCACGGGTTGGTCTCGAACCATTGAACGGCATCCGGCTGGTGTCGTGGGAAGACTCCGAAGCGTGACCTGCCTGCCGAATCGTACGACAAGCTTGGGACTCCGCGAATCAGGTTCATGGTGTCCAGCGACAGCGGCAGGTCCATGATAACTGTGTGTTGTCTTGATACCCCAAAGTCGTGCATCATCTTAGGTGACTCGACTCCAGGAACCGGTAAGTCGAACACCGGAGAGCGGCCGGGCCCGGACTTTGTCGTCGCTGGCACGACGGAGTAACGCACAAATGGCTGGACGAAGGTCGCGTGGAACGTAATGAGCTCTTTCGTTACCGGATCAACTCGCGGATGAGCAGTGGTCCATTCTCGCATGAAGGATACGACACCTCTGCCCCCAAAGCCACTCTCGGTGCTTTGTCGCGGTTCGTTTTCTGCTGTCCTTCCGTTGAACCAACCAATAGTCTCCAAGCTCGGCAACGCGAATCTGAGAGGGGGGCCGCTTTCACACGTTGCCAATGCTCTCCCATTGTGAAATAGGACACTGGTGTTGGCGACGCTGATCTTTTTGATAGGACGACCGAAACCTGGGAGTCGCGAGAGGACTACCAGGAACACGGTTCGGAAAACCTCGAAGAGGATGCGAAACATGCTCACGGCAGGATTCACCAGTGTCGCAATACTTGGAACTACTGGTCGCCGCAGGTATTTGTTGGTTTTTGCGTGGCAGTAGACGTCGGTCAACAGGTATTGGTTGACAAATTCCGGCTGGACCAAAGTGTTCTTTTCACCTGCCCGGCGGAATAGAACACCACTAAGCATGCCATCCCCATCGAACCAGTGCGCCGCTCGGCTCGCATCATCGTTCGTCACCGGGTTGCCTCCATTGCGGACATACTGGCCTCCTGCTAGATCAGAAGGGATCGTGCCCTCATGGCTGCAGGGAGTCAAGGGGAGGCAGGATTGAATCGGCGCAAAGTTCCCTGACAGGTAACTACGCGAGGAAGCAGTCAGAGATCAGCTATGAGTAAAAGGGCTAAGCAATATGGACTCACGGATGACGAGCATTCTCGTCTCCCCGACATTCGTCTGTCATCTTCGCGTGTAGAGCAGACGTTGCCTAGCCAAGGTACATGCGATATTGTCTGTCAAGAACATGTAGGCTCAACTTCGGCGATGAAAGGCAATGTCGAGTTGTCAATAACGACCGGTCGACTCAGACAGCAGGTCTGAAATGTCTTTTGTGAAGCTGACTAGAGTTCAGGGACGGCTGTCGTACTTCAGAATTCCAGGCACAGTTGAAGGTGGGTTGTATCGCCTGGCCGACGTTGCCCGGGATGGTTTCCTGATTGCGCTCGAACATTGGACCACCATTCCCATCCGTGCTCGAACTGCCGACAGACTGCCCATCAATTGATTCTGGCTTGATGACGACATCAGACGACGAGGAACTCGGAAGTTCGGAAGTGCTTATGACCTTTCTCCTCTCTAGTGTGCGGTCCAGGTCGTCTACGCAAATAGTTTCGGATCCGGTTTGAGTTGGACGCGTGGAGACATGCCGCAAGCTTGCCTTTGCTCACGCCCTGCTACAGCTATGGTAATCAGTCAACGGAATGCGATTCCCAATGCCTCCATAACACATGCGGCCGCCAACTCGTCAAAGAGGCTTCGCGTGTAAGTTCGGCTCGAAAAGATCTGCAACTTAGTGCGAACCACGACTGTGCAGCACATGGTCACCAGACCTGTTTTGACACAAGGGTGGCAGGCATCGTGGACATGAGACAGATCGCGCACACAGCTTGGCGATCGGCAAACCAAGCAGAAGCCAAATTTGTTTTCTTCCTTATGGCTGCCTCTAGAATAAAGCTAATGATGTCTTGCCAGCCGTTGGAGCGTTAGCCTGAAGAAAAGCTGGACGGGCTAGACCTACTATCCCGTCTGCTGCCAAGTCTTTCGGGCTTTGCGCTGCAGACATCAAATCACTTGCCGGCGCTAGCTCCGGCTTAGTGGGGCCGGGAATACCACTCGGCAGCTTCCGGCCTAGAAACCGGCAAAAGTGGTGACTTCATCGACCTCCAATCCTTTCTTGTTGCGCCAACCGCCTTACGTGCCTACGTCGGAAGTTTGTCACAATCGCACTACTTCGAGGCGAAGAAAAAAAAACTATTTTCAAATCATTCCCCAGTCGCACTGAGTGAATTACTTTGAAGAGGGGTCGTTTTCGTTCTGGCGCGGAGCAACTCTCCGCTTCAAGTCTGACAACCAGGGTTACAGCCTCCTGCCGTCATGGACTCGTCAAGGATTTGCGCGGGGAGAGAGTTTACAACTCATTTGATCTCATTCGCCTGACCCCGCTTCTAGGCTGAAGGACGAGTGGCAGAATCCCTTTGCGTTGCAGTCGTTTCTGGACGGTTGACACTGTTGACAGGGACGGCTCGAGCTTGGAATACCATAGCGCCCGTCTTGGCCCAATAACCGGTGCTAGCCTAGTCTCACCTGCGAGGGTGTCGCGCTGTTTGGGCTACGGCGAAGCTACTCTTCCATCGCGATGGTGTCCTCGCGTCGACGACTAGCCTATCGTCTACAACTTGCGGTAGGTTGGTGTTTCGAGTCTAAACGTCATCCAGAGCTCATGGAAATCTCAATACCACCTATCCCCTCTTCGTCTGGGTGAAGTCATCCGACATGGCTAGATGCGGATCACCCGGCAGGGGCTTTTGGGATCGCGTTAGCTCGGGCCTAAATCTGATGTTGGCCGAGGACAACAGATGAAGATATATGGCATGTAGCAGCCCCCTCACTATATGGATAGGAGAATAGGAAGCAGCATCAAAACATTTCCTGGCATACTCAACCAGTAGCTCTTTCCTCGAAATCTCCCGCCAGCTTGTAATTGACACAGAAAACCGAGCTGCGAACAACACTCACAATGGCGAACGATGCTCTCAACACCAACTCCCGCGTTGGCCAACAAGCCGACCTGGGCATCTCAGCCCGTGCTTCGGACTGGTACTTTGCCGTCTGCGCGATTATGGCGTTTTCCACACTCGTTTTTCTTGGAATGGGTTTTACCAAGCGAGAGACGCACCGTCTCTTCCACTACATCACCGCCACGATTACCTTTGTCGCTTGCATAGCGTACTTCTCCATGGGCGCCGGGCTGGGCCAGGTCCCCATCCAGGTTGAATTCCCCCGCAACAACAGCCAAGTTGGCGGCGCCGGCACACGCGAGATCTACTACGTGCGATACATCGACTGGTTCATCACCACCCCGCTGCTGCTATTGGACCTGCTTCTCACTGCCGGTATGCCCTGGCCTAGCATTATGATTGCCCTCCTCGCCGACGAGATCATGGTTGTCACGGGCTTGGTCGGTGCCCTCACGAGCACCAGCTACAAGTGGGGTTACTGGGTGTTTGGCATGTTTGCCTTCTTCTACGTCGTTTACGCGCTTGTGATCGACGGACGGAAGCACGCTGGTGCGCTGGGCGGGCAGGTGAGCTCCACGTATCGCAACTGCGGTGTTCTCACCATTTTCTTGTGGTTCCTGTACCCCATTGCCTGGGGCGTCTCTGAGGGCGGTAACCTAATTCACCCCGACTCTGAGGCTGTCTTCTATGGTATTCTGGATGTTCTTGCGAAGCCCGGCTTCGGATTCCTCCTGCTCTGGGGGCACAGGAACATTGATCCCACCGCTCTGGGACTGCACATCCGCGAGCCTGGCCAGCCTAAGAACCGCCCTGTCGGCAGCCACGACGGAGACCACGGACATATTGGAGGTGCGGGGCCTAGCAACGGCTTGTAATGCCACTGCGTTATCGCAGTCATTAATTCGGCGGTACGGAAAGGTCTCGGTCTTGAAGAGAGCTGGGTGCATTGCATCTACCTATCAGGGTAGCCATGGGGGTTGGAAAAGTTCCTTGGATCTTTGCTAAACATGGGATTATGTTTCTTATTATGGATGGACGTTGGATCAATGCGGTTCACTCGCGGGCGCTTATATGCGTTGGCTTAATATCTGATCATGTAATGTTCATAGGAGTTGTTGTATGTAGGGAATTTCGTTTATACCCATAATCTAAGCGGCCGACTTCGATGTGACTGTAGTATTTAGCGGCACGCAATTACCTGGCGATTTGCCCGGCGATGGGCCTCTGAATGATCTTCTCAAAATTTGCATGTTAGCAGGACGCCAGGTAGACAGAAAGCCTTCGTCTTGGTAAGTGAGAGAGCGCGACCAACCTCCCACTGTGCATAAATGGGAATTCGTTTGGAGTTCTGAAGTGATGATCCCGTTTCATCTACGAACTAGGTAGGCAACTCACCTCAGGTGAATCAAGCTTTGCGGGGTAAAAAAAGGCTGGCTGTAAGTCAAAAATGCTGCACCTCACGAGGACTCGGGACTTAACTCTGAAAAAGGAGGTCCGGGGCAATGGAATCTCCGAGCAAAACCATAGCCTTGAATACGGCTTGCTGAATCTTAAAACTTTATTGTGACAAGACGTGCCGTATCATAGCCATCTGAAGATTGAGAAAAGTAGCTGAGTACGACAATTCCATGTGTTGTTTTTGAATCTTTTCGACGATGCTTTCCATGCTGGATTCACATTCTGTGAAAATGCATGTGGATTTAGAAAAGCTGAGAAGGCTGATGAGTTTCGAAAGCGTCCTATATTACCTAAAGTACAGAAATAGAAAAGTTGTAATCTAAGAAATTAGAGCTCCGGAGCTTTCTTTGATTATATTGTAAAAGGCCAGAGTAATCTCAGATCTGCGAATACATTGATGTAGCCCAGTCAGAAATAGTAAAACATACAGAACGCCGCCACCCTTTTTTCTTCTTTCCTTTTTCCAAGACACGATCGGTATGTCTGTTGGTGCGCCTGTACGGCAGTGGAAGATGCTGCTTCTTATGATTTATCGTACTATTACAAGACTCAATTGATTTCATCACTATCCTCATGGGACTGTGAACACTTGGTGATAAAAATTACGAGACTTCCGCAAAGGGTGGGTTATCTAAGCATCTATGATACGTAGATTGTGGAAAAAAGCTTCAGAGGACTAGAAGCCTGGCTGTCCGGTTTGGATTTGTATCTACTGAACTAAGGATTTCACGTCTGCGCGAGGTAGAATCAGAACCTCTCGCTTCTTCAGGCCACAGTCTCCTAGCGCTTTTCTCTATTCTTGTTTTGCTTTCTTCTTCTTTTTCTTTCACGGATTTCGCATTTCGAGATTCATGTCGAAATTCATCCCCGCCCAGAAGCTATCATCCATGAAACTCAGACCATTCTGCTCGCCAAGTTCACCGATAGAATCCGCCAGAGCGAATTGCGTGTTGAAAGCCGACTCCGATCCGCCGTGACTCAGCAACGCCCCCTGGAGCGTCTGGTCCGCCGCGCTGGACTCGTCCCACGTGAAGTCTTGGTCAATCATGTTGATCAAGGGACACAGGCTCTGCTCTAGCGTCGGCTGCGGCTGCGTAGAACTTGATACTGCACCATTGGTGTTGCTTTCTACCACCGCCGCCGATGCCGGTGCCGTTGGATCCGGATCCGGGTCCTTGCGGGCATCTTGCTCCTGCAGGATGGAGTTTGGCATCCGCTCCGGGTATTTCTGGTGCAGGTACTTGATCAGATCGGACCGCATCTTCGCGGCAGGACGCCAGGAGATGCCCAGCTCCGCCAGGACCTCCAGGCACGCTTCAATGTAGACGGTACAACACGGCCTTCCCGTATTCGCAAATTCCGGGTCAGGGCTCGCGTACTGAATAAGCACCAGCGCTGCGGTGAGCGTGCAGTGCGTCGCGGTGATAGGGCTCCGCCGGAACGAGCCAAAGACCTGGCGGTACTTTTTGCCGGCGTGGCAGATACGTTTGGCCGACTCGATGCAGAGGACCTCTGCGCGTTTAGCCGTGTCTGTTTTAAGGGCCGGGGGCGTGTCTTTGGATTTGAGGAGGAAGGGCTTGAAGAGGAGGATGCAGCAGGTGTGGTAGACCATGTGGAGGGTGTAGACTTGGGGCAGGTCGTTGTGTTTGTCGATGCGGAGGTCAGCGGGGAGTTCGTAGAACCAGGTTTTGAGCTCGAGGGTGCAGGATTGGAGGAAGGATTTCCTTTGCGGGCCTTTGTAGAGTGGTTTTGGGGCGTATCTGAGGGGTTTGTTAGTTGCGTGTTCACCAAAAAGGGGAGAGATTGTGTGGGTGAAAGGGAAGCTGACGTACAGAGCCAGGAGGATGTTCTCAAGGATTCGACAGAGGCCTATTAGACCGCGGTGTACGAGGACCTTTTTATTGCATCTGTCTACGTCGCATGAGTCGTTTGTTGCTGCAGCACTCATTTGTTCCGGTGTGTATGTTGACGGTAAATGGACAGCGCCTTGGACATCCTGCATCACAATGTCAGTACAGACAGTACTCTCATAGACGTTTGAACATGCGACATAGCGGAATAGATCTTACCAAAAGACTACAGACTCGCCCCGTGTATATGGCGGCAAGTTTGTCGTCACAGTATAGGGCCCAATAAATCTGTCGTCTCAACTCTACTTCTTCGTTGGACATGTGGCACGTGCCAGACAACGACGACGCGTCAAGGTTGAGTCCCATGTCAAGAGCTAGTCGATTTGCCATTCCTTGGTGTAGCCATCCGGCAGCATCGCATCCGTAGGACTATTTGTAGTGAGCATAGGAAACTTGGCAATTAGTTCCATCCATAAACATACCACATAGACCCCGACCAAAATGGACATTGACTGAATTGTCGTGATGTTCGGTCGTTTCATGTCATAATGTAAAAGGACTTCAGCTTTCTGGAGAAAGACTTTGCCGGCCGAGTTTTGGTCGTCTGGGATGGAACGGGTGTCGGTCCTATCGGAGTAGCGTGATCCCAGAGCAAGTATACAGTTGAGTAAACAAGGACTAAAGAAGCGACCCCGCGTTCTCATACTCTCTCTGAATAGCTTCTCATCAACCACTTGGCACCAGGGGTTTTGATACTCAAAGAACAAGTCTATCAGTTCTGTAGTAAGATCATCCGGGTAGACGTCTGCCTCCAGAGGAAGGATGTAACGGTTAGTCTCCGTGGACTTGGATGTCAATGGGCTGCCATGATCGTCAGACTCGGGCGTAGATTCTAGAGACTTGTCAATAACCAACCCAGCCGGGGATAATAATAAGCGATACGCACCACTCTGGAACTCTAAGCGGCCGCTCGCCGGGCCGAAGTATCGCATCTCTCCATCCTGATCATAGTTCACCGATTCATCCAGGGAGAGAGCTCCTTCAAAGGTGGCACATAGGTCGTCAAAAGCCGAAACGCTGAGTCCAGCATCGCTACCGGTTGCTAAAGTGCTGGCGATGGACGGTAGCTGTGGTGCTGATCCGGTGGCCGAGAGCTGGGCGACGGCAGCCTCGACATCGATGGTGTGGGACTGCAACACGGCTTCCAGGAGGTCGATCCGGTTTCTCAAAAGTTGTACGTATGTCTTTGAAGCAGGCTTACGGCCGTCCTCTTCACTCCTATAGAGACAATTGATGGCACGTTCGGAACATCGGCCACAAATGGGCCGCAGTCCATCACACTAAAAGTTGGCACCTTTCAGTCAGCATCATAGACTTTTAGCCAGACCATCAGCCCATTGTCTATACGAGTATCGCAATGCGTGTGTAGCCTGAACTCAGCCGTCAAAAAGGTGTGGGCTGATAGAATGGAAGGAAAATATATTCCACCCACCTTTGCCCTTCGGCGCCGACACTCCTCGCACGCCTTTGACGTGTACCTGCGCTTCGGTTGGCTTGCGGCCCGCTCCGACGACGCTTGGGGCATAGCAGCGAAGGAGAGGAGACACAAATAAGATGGGCAAGGGTCCTCCACCACGGATGATATAATCCTTTCTGATTCAGTCCGGGGACACCTTCGATTTTGGTTCAATGAGGAAAGTCGGACGCACAACGGTTGACACTTGGTAGTAATAGTTCGCAATTTCTCTTGCCCGATAACCACGGCACTGAGATGGTCAAGGATGGGGCCAATCACATGGACTTGAATCAATGGATGACTAAGGAGCGGGGGAGGAATTCATATTCCGCCCTATGCGTCATGGCACCAATATCTTTTCATGACTTTTGAGCTAGAATTTCGTTGACAAAGAATTGAATTCCATTTCTTACAAGCCAAATCATGGTGTTGCTATAGAGAAACCCTCCCGTTTCCAGAGGCTCCGATGCTACCATTGAGGTTTTGCAAGATCGGCTACACTGTGATGGCTTCCAACTCCTGTCTGGAAGTGTATCCGGACGCTTTGATCACGCCGGGTGGGGCCGCGACGAGTAGGGAATCTTCATGGAGTTCTCCTGGTAAGATGCAAGTAAAATCCTGTAAGATCTGTATGTTGAGATAAATACACGGGAAGCTCTGATTCTCCATGCTGGCTTGGAAGATGCGATAGCGAGAAAATGACTGCCTAGACAAGAGACATGAAGTCCCCAGTCCGAGAATAAGGCCACCTCCGGCCTTGGCCCGGAGATCAGATCGCGTAAGACCCAAAATAGAAGTCAGATAAGATCCCCGTGCGGATCAACACCGTGTCGGTTCATCTTATGCCGGGCCACCGACTTGATTACTCCCGTCTTTGTGAGGGAAGGATTTCAATGCTCCTGGAATTTTCTGACGGTCTGATTTGTCGCCAGTCTCAAATTCTCGGTGCGCATGAACGGAAGGCGAGCTGAAGTGAAGGATTACCGGACCTCTGACGAACATGAAGGCTCTATCGCGTTCCTGATTCTCCAAAGCGCACAAGAGCATAACCTGGACCCCTACCTTGGAGCGCATGCTGAGCGCATATTGACGACGCGGCTCAGCCAAGGACACCGATACTCGATCGCAACGCCCCAAAATCGACATTCGCTTTTACAGCAACAACAAGGTGCAACCGTCGACGCCATGACCGAGAGACACGGACAGACAGCGGGTCTGCGTTTTAGCGCGCCTGGAACGCACCGACGACACCTCAAGCACACCCTCGGCGCAGCGAACTAGCCATATTGTCGATCATCACAACGCCTGGCCTTACGTAGACACTCAGACGGTTGGTTTGAAGACTGGGTTAGGAGGTAGTTGATTGGGTGTATTCTCGAAGTCCTCGGGGGGAAACGCTTACTTGCAGAGACTTGATAAGTGTAATCCCGACCTGCGACGATCCCTCCCTGATGGCTGTCAACGGCTTACGCCGCAAAGGGGATTTTCTTTCACTAGATCATGTCTTCTTCGACAATGAGACAATCCTGAGGATATTTTAAGCCTCACATTGGCTTCAATGTAATCTGTCGTGGATGATCTTGCAAGTGCAGGTCTCACTAAGTTGTGGTTGGGACGAAACTAGGGGTTTTGATGAGCTCCAGAAACCTCCAAGCTTGCGCAGGTGCCAAGTAGGGCTACAGCTCGAGTGCGCAGGCCGTGTGATGGGAATGCGGAGACTGCTCTCCAGAGACACGCGTAACTACAACTCTTATGCAACAAGATGCATGTCTCGGACGAACACCTGGGTGATGGGCATGTCTCACGCAGCATTCGGGAAGGTGGTAGGAGCTTCGCGACCAAAGCTTCGGGACCAAACGCAAACAGCGAGAGCTACCGCAGCTGGGTCAAGGTTCGAGAGACATGGTTTTTGGACTGAAACATTTCCAAGAAAACATTTCAAAGAAAACATTTCAAAGAAAACATGTCCATCGAGATAATTGTTCACTGTTTCTTCTCTCAACGCCACATGTCTATCCTACCAACCCAAATCCTTCTGTTTTCGTACCAATATCGAGAGTCTGTTAATCTTACCTGCGTTAACTAGAGCCCCCCACGGACTTCTCCACGGATGCCCGCCTTCTCTTCCCCTGGGCCCCTGAAAGAACAAACAAAACCCGAGCCCATTAGCGTGCAGCATCGAGGTCTCCTAGCGTCATGCTTCAACGTCCGGCTCGGCGGGAGCACGGTCGGGGCACGGCCGGCCCGGTGCCACTTAGCCTCCCTACTTGCGTCTCCTGCTACTTGCCCCCCGCGAACCATACCGTCCTGAACCGTCAGCGGCGCAACGGTCAGTTCACTCTTTCCATGGGGCTCCGATGGTTGGATTCAGAGTTAAGGATGAAGAAAGTATAGGGGGGAGAAGGGGGGCAGACGGTGTTGCATGGTATGGAAACCTCCAACCGTCCGAAATGATTGAGTTTGTTGCCCGCCTGAGCGAGGGGGAAAGAGAGACATCTATAAGAAGGTTCCTGCTTGCCTTTGGTCATCGTGCATTGCCAGCCTCGCCATTCATTACATACTTCAGCCAGGACTAATCATACTCACTTCTTCACGATACCTCGATCTTTCAAACCCCCACCAAAATGCCTTCCACCGTCGTCTCTACCCCCGTGCCCGCCGGCGTCGACCGCAACGCCGTCCTCTCCGCCATCCACAACCACGACCTGATGGTCAAGACCCTCTGCCCGGCTCTCATCTCCTACAACCTCGAGTCCGGCTCCGTCGGCGTCGGCCAGTCCGCCACCTACTCCGTCACTGACAAGAAGCCCATCGGCCAAACCACTTACCAGCTCACCATCACCAACCTCGAGGACGGCGTCGACACCCTCGTCAACGCTAAGCCCCCCGTCGGAACTCTCGTCATCAACGGCAGGTGGCGCATCGTCAACGAGGCTGCCGGTCTCATCCTCCGCGAGGAGGTCGACATCGAGGCCAACATGCTCATGAAGAAGATGGCCAAGGGCAACGTCGAGAAGACCCACCCCGAGCAGCACGCTGCTCTTCTGGTCCAGGCTGGCAAGGCATAAATGATGTATCAAAGCGACTATACCCCACTGGCTGAGTTCATCGCCTTTGGAACCCGCGCGGTGTGATTGGCGTTCAACGGATCCTGGGATCTTGTGATGAGATTACCTCTGGTACAATAATGGGAATATGACATTTTGGGATACTATAATATTTGCTCTCACATGTGGAGCTTCTTAGAATCTTGTGTGCCGTACCTTCGTGACTCGACCATTCCTCATGACGTAAGTTGGCGAGAACTGCTCTGAATTCACCCGCTCAAAACTTAAGCCTTCGAAGCTTCATCGGGAACGTGAGCGACGACCTCAATCTCGACCCGCATATCGTCCTCCCCGAGCCTCGATACTCCCACGCACGTCCAAATCGGCTTGTGGTGCGGCATCCACTTTCTAAAATTCCGTACCATGGCTGCCAAAGCTTCGTCATTAATCGGCACATGGTATGAGTTGACTCGGAACACCTGTTCCCAGCCTGCTCCACCGGCATCCTTGAGATTGAGATCCACGTTGGCGAATGCTTGATCGATTTGGGCGTTAATTTCCTTGTAAAACTCGCCCGTTTTGGGATCCCATCCGCCTGAGTTATTGTGTCAAGTTGTGTTTGGATTTGAGACGACTATTGGCAGCGACATACCTTGACCAGAGCACTCAATGCGGTCGCCAATCTTCACTGCCTGGTTGTAGCTGAAACCCGCGAGATTTCTCTGGCCTACGCCGTCATAGGAATAATACTTGAGATGAGACATGTCGGCAATGTTCTTTTGGGCCGTTAAAGGATTGAGACGTGGTGACTAGGCTTTGGCTGACAGAGAATCAGTACACGTAATGGCAGCGGCCTTGAGTTACGTCCTTGCGATTCGACAGTTTTTATATAAGAATGGAGGCAGTTTGCGCAATCAATAAACCTCGACGTCATATAAAGACAGCGGAATCTATATTCCTCTACATGCGGAGCACCTTGGACTAAGGTAGCGCCTGACTCGAGCCGACCCGATTACCTATGCGGGGCTCTTCCGACTACAGAGTAAACACATCTAACTTCGGAACCTTTCTACTTTAAATGCTTTGTAACAGTTCCAAACAGGCTCTCCCATTTATCATCATTGTGGAAGTTGATTACTTGTTCCGCGATGTTACACACAAGTATGTCTGCATCCCCAATTTCTCTACTCAAAAGGCAACATTTTCTGTGTGTGTATGAAATATCCCTTTCTTAGAGACACGATACTTTATGATAGAGGGTTGAACCTCGCCTAAAATACTGCTTGACTAAATACACTTGTTGAAAAGTGCAGTCGGATCAAAGCTAACAGAGTACAAAACCAAAGACAAGTCAAAAGTCAAACACAGACAGAGCAGACCAAGTCAAAACTAAAGCAGAGACGAACGACTTTTGAGTCTCCATCTACACGCCATCATCGCGTTTACAGCAGAATTACCCCTCACCGGGCATACTGCTAGTTCTCATCCCTTCACTCACTCACCCTTGCCAAGCAGAACCAAGTTAGCCACGTTCATCGCGGCCATGATGACCCAAACCAAGACCGCAAAGCCAGCAGTGTACCACGAATTCGCCATCTTGACGGTGCCGTCCGTAGGGATTGCTGTGGACTCTTCCTCGTCAGTCCCTGCACTACCGACCCTGAATCGGGCGCTGCCGCCCGGTCCATCTCGGACCGTCATGAACTTGTCTCTGCAAGTGAAGTAAATCAATGGCGCAGTAACAAACGGCAGAACGACACTAAGCACGACCTGCGAAGCATTCAATGCTTCGCTGACGCCCTTTCGCCCAACAGCGCCGGCAATAACAATGCTCGGCGTAACGCTGATACTCCGCGTCGCCAGGCGTCGCAGCCAAGGACGGACTTTCCAGTTCAGTGCACCCTCACTGACCATCTGCCCAGCAATGGTACACACGATACCCGCCGAGACGCCAGAGAGAAGCAGCGCGAGAGCGAATATGGTGCCCGCCGCCTTGGAGATGGAGTCCGTGAGGAGTTGGTGGATGCTAAAGATGTCGGCGTCCGGTGCTTCGGGATTCCCGTACAGGGAGACGCCCGCGACGATTAGGATGGCTGAGTTGACGAAGAGGGCGAAGGTGAAGAGGGAGATGCTCAGCTCGGCGGTCGAGGTTTTGAGGGAGTGTTTGATCGCTTTGGCGGAGGGCACGTAGTAGCCTTTATCAATGCTATCGCCGTTGAGGTCGACTTCATCCATTTCGGGGGGTAGGAGGTTGTGTTTTGTATCGTATTCTCGGAGGCGGGCTTGGACGATGCCAGAGCCGAGGTAGAGGCTGTGCGGCATGACTGTTGCGCCCAGGATCCCGCAGGCTTGGTATAAACTGCGTGCTGTCAGTAAGCCTGTTCTGGAGGAAAGGAGGTGGAGGGGATTACCCTTGAGACTCGACAACGGCACGCGATGGCAGATACCCCTGAAAGACTTCCCCAACCGGCGTATCCTTGATGAGGGAGAGCTGGATGCAGAAGCAGACGACCACGGCCAGCACCAGGCCGATGATGAAGTACTCAAAGATTCGCAGGCCTCTCATAGATCCGTGGGGCCGGTAAAAGATGAGAATGATCATGACGTCCAAGATGGAGATTGCGCATCCTGCAACGAGAGGTATGGCTGGCACAAGCAGGTTCAGACCAATCGCGAAGCCAATCACCTGCCCAGCCGCATCACTTTAGTAAACTGAGGCCTTGGAGACGGAGACATAGCAAGTATCGACTACACTCACCTCGGCAATATCTGTTGCGATGATAGCAACCTCTGCGAATACGTAGAGGACGTAGTTCATCCATCGCGGCAAGAAGGCCCGACATGCTTCAGCCAGGTTGAGCCCCGTGACGGTACCAAGCTTGATACAGAGGCTCTGGAGGAAGATGGCAAAGAGGTTGGACAAGAGTACGACAAAGAGCAACCTGAAACGGTAGCTTGCTCCTGCAGCGACGTCTGTTGAATAATTTCCGGGGTCGACTGTGAAAGGTGAGGAAGGCTGTTAGTCAAGTTCACTACTTTTCGCGGGTATCCACGGAAGGAGAGAGCCAGGAAGAATCTTACTATACGCAACAGCAATCATGAACCCGGGCCCGATAAACGAGCCAAACTTCACAATGGCCTTCTTCAACCGACCGTACAAGGCCTGATGAATCTTGGGCGTGTCTCCTCCATCATCAGGGGGAAGTTGACGTGAGTGAAGGTTAGGGAGAGGGGTCGCGGGGACCTCCTCTCCCTCGGGTAGACCAAGTCCATTAGACTTGGTCGTCGCGGCCGCAGCCGCGGGGCCGGAGCCGCCTTTGCCCCAATCCACATCGTCATAGGACCGCGATATATCCTCGTCGCCCGTCCCGGATTCCCCCGCCAGCGATAGGCCCTTGCCATCCTCCCCTGGCTCTAGGGCCCTGGCGTTGACAATGCCGTTGAGGTCTTGGTTGGTGGTCAAGTCATTGGACAGATCATTCGGGCTCTGGTTGTAGCCCTCCCCTTCGTAGGGTTCGTCTGTACGAGATGGACGATTCATTGTTTCGCTGCACTGTACTCTAAAGCAAAGGGCTAAGGAAAGAAAGGCGTGAATGACTTCATGACACGCGTTGTCGTCAAATCTAGGGTTGTCGGCTAAGCGGCTACTCAAAACCCATGACTAATCACAAGACACACCTAGCGGGCCCGTCTAGTTTAACGTCGGCTATTGTTGCCATTATCTACAAAGATGCATAGAGAATGGTATTCACTCATTTTCTCTCGATACTCATCATTGTTTGATAGCAGAAGCCGCCACAAGATGAAAAAGTGGTTGTTTCCTAAAGCGGCAAGTACGCTATGCAGTCCACTTTTGCCAAGCAGCCAAGCAGACTAGAGAATTCAAGGTTGCATGCAGTCCAATACTCCAAGTGACCAGAAGCTCGGGACTTTATAACGGTTACAAACGTTTCTAGATCTTGCATATATTGCCTCTCTATAGAAGAGAAGAAGCTCGTTGTACTTCAGATTGATTTGCGGCTTTTTGACTTTCATTTCGGGACCGTGAGAGGAAGGGATTGACAAAACTATGGATGATGAGCATAGACATGTATATCGATACGTCAAGTTGCATGCGAATGGACGACTACCTACGAGGTTACAATACTACAGTCAAATACGGCAGAATGCATCGTTCTGCATACGTATTGACTAAATTTACAAGGACTTGCCTCGCCCAGCACTAGATATAGCATATTTCTGCAGAGCATTCTGTCATGCGTTGTAGAGTCGCAGACCCGGCTCCTGATTTAATAGGCATGAGGCCCGTGATCACATTTCATCCGAGTCAACAAATGAAACTCGTGCAGGTAAATGCTTACAGGAACTTCGAATTGAAATTCCTACCTGAGTGACGGATGGCTCTCGTTTACGGATTCCGTTCCGTTTAGCATGCCGTGCAAGATGGGAATCAATCCTCTCGAGACCAACGGCACGGAAATGGTTCCAGCAGATCTATATCAAGTTCCTACGAATAGCTGGTCACAAAAGAGGAATCACTTTCATCGAACTTGGTCGTTCCGACATCAAGTTCAGAGTAGCGAAAACCAGCCAAAAGTCGATAGACGAACTGTAGTACCAATGGCCTTTGTATCCTACAGGCTATGGCCGGCAAGCTGGCCACTCTGTCAACTGCTAAGATGGCTTCAATATGAACATGCGGGCTTTTGTAGGGGCAATAATAAATTAACTACTAATCTGATCGTATTTTCCTTATATCTACTACCTATAAACAATCTCAAAATAGAGCAGGACGAGGAGATTGGCTGCACTCGGATGTAGTGATACCATCCAGTAGGTAGTTCATAGAATGATTTTAAAACGCCTTTCGTTCCTCCACGCCAAATATCTTTCAACGAGTAAATACCTTGATAGGAAGTTTTCCATCCCGTTTGCACAATGCCAACATCAATCTAGCATCGTGCTATCTAGCAGGCGGGCCTCCTTAGCGAGATACTGTCAATGCTCCTAGCTATTTCTACGTAGGCCCCTTTGGATGAATATCGCAAGCTACCTTACATAGCGCTTTTGATCGTCGAAAGGGCAGCAATAGAATATGTGTTAAGTAGCAGGAGATTGATGTTAATAATTTGCCATGAACAGGCAAGTATACTGGGTTCTTCTCAGCTTATGGACGATGAACAGCGTGCTAGACTATCTCAAATTGCATTTTGTTAATATTGATTTTGCCTGTAACCACCTATCAACTCCCGTGCACTCATTTGGCGTTAGCTCATCGTCCCAACTGACCCAAATCTCATTCAGAATTCGTTGAGCTGACAGACCCTCCCAAGTCCACTTCTTGCGACCCACTCCAAGAATATAATACTTCCAAGCAGCAGACACCACGAGCCTCCTCCACGAACCCGCGTCCCGGAGCCGATCGCCGCTCTCGTAAGGCCGATCATTCCTCACATATCGTCAGCTGCCATCATCCCACCAACACACATACGAACACCCCCTTTACCTCATCTCGATGCTCATTCGGTCTTGCGGCGGCTAGAACCGCCAATGGCAGCCTTCTTCGAGCACCCTCTCCCCGACGTCTGACGTAGGCTCATCCTCTGCTATCAGGTCCCCTTCTCTACAACCGTCTCCGACTAGCTCTATGCCGATCCATAAGCTCGGTGGGAGCTTCGTGTAACGACCATCGCACAACGTCGCGCTTGTATGGCCTCGTGTAAAATGTCATACACCCTTCCACCCCCCTTCAATGCGTCCCAGAGCGTTTTTGACAAATTGTCGATAGAAATGCCTGGAATCGAGCCTTACTCGACAGAATATTTTCCTCGTGTGCAACTTTTTCCCGTCATACAAATTGTCCCGTAATACGAATCGATGGTGGGTGTTGTGGGCGACATCGGTAATCGGTGGCAAATGACGTCGGCGTGCTTTCGTTATGTTCGGAAGTTGGTGAGGGATCTTCGTGTGGCGCAGGTCAACCACCACAGATTTCGCAGGCCGCGACTCATTCGTGACTAAAAACTATTGGGTATCGTCAATCTTACAAAAAGTGGTCGAGATTGGAAGCTGTCACTAGATGGCCCTGTCGTGATTGCGGAAGCCAGGTCGATGAGGATGAATGAAAGAAATTCCTTTGGTCAATTCGAGGTCGATACCTCTCCCCGCCTATGGCGAGGTATATAAACAATATGCGAACGTAATCCCCAAGGCCGTAGCCCTATACCAAAAGCCCGAAACGCCTGATGCTGTCCTATGCCCAATATGTCATTTGACGGTTTGTCGAAACCCCCAATGATGATGATGTTCGTTAGTGTACAAGTTGCGAGCCGATGCAAGTTTTTTTTTTTCCTCTCCAAATACCGTGTCCGTGCCGTAAAGCCATAAACGAGTTCAGTATAACGCTATAGGCCATTTCGGCCACAAGGGGGTATCATGCCCTTCGCGGGCGGTGTCCGATTAGGCAGTGTAGTGGGTGCTCGAAGAGCACTTCCTTGGTGTGATTGTTCCTGAATGGCGTCAGGATGCGCGTCCCCCTTCATAGGTGATCAAGCTGTCGCGGTCCGAGTGCGAGTCGACGATGGTAAGGAGCGATTCAACGGGGGTGATGTGATGCAATCTGTGTCCACCTCTTCAATCTGAAAGTGTGCGTAGATGCCTTATTTCTTGCCCTTGGTTGGCGCGGCAGTGATTTTACTCGTGGTCATGAGGTCGCCAATGTATTTTTGGAGGAACTTGTTGTTGTTATCGAGCTTGTCATGTTCTTCTCTGACGGCCTCGATGCGGTTGAAGATGGTCAAGAGCGAGTCTTGCAAAGCCTTTGCGTGTCTGTAGAGAAGGGTGCTATTAGTGATTGGCGCGTCTTGAAGTGGCAGAGGGTTTCGTTTACCTCTTGAGCTCTTCTCGCGCTTCCCTTCCTAGTGCTTCGATGTCTTCACTGGTCCTCCGTGGGCTCATAGCCCTCACGTCGTCGGGTCCAAACTCTGCATCTATTGGGCCCACTGCCGAGCTGTCCCGGGGTACCACCAACGGCCCGCTGCTCTTTCTGCTGGGCAACCGAGGTCGGATAGGAGTTGGCTGGTGGATGTGGTGCTCGTCGTGGTCGTGATCGACAGAAGAAGAAGATGAGCTTGATTGGGACCGCTCGATGTGAGGAGGGAGATGCGATTGTTCGCTGAACTGTGCTTGGTGCTCGTTGTCCATGTTGACAACGTTGTCGAGTTGGCTGCTGAGGTTGTACTGTGAAGTGGTGATTGTCGGTGAGAGTACTGCGCAAAATTGCTGGCGTTCAGGGGACAGTATGGATTGATACGATTGCCAAGGGACAGGAGAAGTTGGTTGCTAAAGAGCGAAGAGGGCGGCTCAAAAGGCAAATATGGTTTTGAATGGATGCAACTCCGTCACCAGGCTCGAGTTGAGAAACGGGGTCTTGCCACCTTGTAAAGCAGGGTCAAGGCTCTCTGGAGCAGGCTCACAGTGGCGGAGGAGTCGAGGATGGCGGCGGAAGAGTCAGGTGGTTGCAAAGGTGGTATTAGTAGCGGTGATGGCGGCGGGTGGTGGTGTATATGGGGCGTGGATTATTATGGAATGTAGGGGTATTGGTGGTTGTATTCCGGAAGCAAGTAGGGTCCTACCGGTCTCGTAGGCAGGGACAGAGCCGGCGGCGGGAGGAGGGAAGAAGAGCAGATGAAAAGGACCAAGCCGAGTGTCGAGCAAAGGGGAAGAGGAAGAAAAAAAGGCGCGGTGGGCCGCAACGGGTAGTGTATGACTATGAATGGGGGGCAGACGAGGTCTCGTGGGTAGTGGGTGGGTTTTTGGGCAGCCTCTGCCTTTTTTTTTTTTTTTTCTGCGCTCAATTTTCCCTCTTCCTTGTCACTTTGTCTTTGGGGGAGGGATATGTATGGGTTCTTGGAAGAAATCGTCTCTCGCGCCGATTACTTCTCTTTTGCTGCTCCTTAGGGTGGGGGTCGTATGGCAATCGGAATTTGGGAAGCGGGAGAAAAGAGAATAGAGACCCAAAGAATAGGTGACTGAGAGTGGGAATGTCGTGGAAGTAATACGGGATTGCGACGGTAGGGAAGACCGAGCGAGAGCACGGAGGTGATGAGCGACAGCAGGTATGTATGTATGTATGTACTCGGTAGCATGCGGTTGCGTCGACGGCCGTGGTAGCTGTACATACAATGGAATGCGATCTGTGGGAATGGCAGAGAAAGAGGTGAAAGGGTCGCAAATAGCTGGCTTGGCTTGGGTGGGGTTTGCTTCAGGCGTTGACGTCTACAGGCGGCCAAGTTGTCGCGATCTGCGGTACTCAGGACCAGTTGCAAATGGGATGCCCTCTTTGGCCCTTTTGGTTGGACTTTGGAGGCTTTGTGGTGTCGATCGGATTGGGGCCCTTGCCAGACTCCCACCCAATGTCGTAGGAGTCGAGGATTGAGTCTGCGGCAAAGGCAGAACGGGGAGGGTGTGCGAGCGAGGGCGCCTTGAGTGCTGCTGGGGGTGGTGGAGAGTGACGATGGACACGACAGGGGTCATCGAGAGGGACCGCAACACAACGACAGGGGCGGGACAGGAAAGGTCGAAATGGCAGTCGTCCGTTGTAACTGGTTGTTATGCGTAGAGTGGCCCGGTCAGGCTGAAGCGGTGTGGAGAAGGATGATGTTATCGCAACCGTTTTGTCGCCGTGCGTGTGTCGTGGGTTGTTTTGCCTCTGCAACTCTTTCTCCTGAGGGAGCCTCAACTGGGACTGGGTTTGCTTGCTTTTCCAGACTCGAGAGGTGTTGCGTAGCTGGGTGTCTCTGTCATGCCGTGCGTCTTGGATGGTATTCTTTAGGGTATTCGCTGGTTCGCCTGGTCGGTGCGGTGCAAGCTGCAAAGAACTTGAGCATGCCACTATGCCAATGTAGTCAGCTAGGTACCTAGGTAGTGGCTAGGAAGCTGAGAGTTGGGAGATGCAGGTGGGGGCCGTGATGCTGTGCTCCTGTATCCAAGCACGGTGTGGGATGTGCGTAGCCATGTAGGAATGGAATGCTATGGCATGTATGGGTTCATACTAACGTTTCCTGGTGTGTGGTGAGGGAGCGGCAGCATGGACGGCTCCCGTGTGATGTTTGACTGACCACCGAGTCCAGTGGAATTACGGGAGGGTCGAATCGGACATGGTGAGAGCAAGCTGCCACACTGCTCCGGCGCCACTGAGTGCAGTAGTGGCTAGGGCAGATCTTGACCGTGATCCAGTTCGTGATGCTGCGGCTGCGGTAGCAATCTGCTCTCTACCAAGGTATGCAAGCAGGAAAGATGGCGGCAACCGTGGTCTTGGACTTTGTAGTCTGATGTGCTGAATAGAGACTCAGGTCGAAAACAGATAGATAGTGCTTGACCCCTTGAACCAGCCATGCACCTATGGAAGCAGAAACACGCCGAGCAGGAATAGTGTAATGGTGCGCAGCGGGGTGGCACGGCCTGGTTGGAATTCGAGATTGACGACAACCTCAGAGGGCGACGGCGTGTTTGTGATTGTTTGCGCCTGAGACGGATGAGACTGATGAGACGGACGGATGCCAGAGAGGGGAAGGGCGGTACGTACCGAAAAGCTCTGGTCACTGGACTTGTCCGTCAGGGCACCTTCAGAAGTTCAACCTGGGGGGGGGACGCCCAACTTCCAAGTACCTTACCTAGGTAACTATGTACATAAGCAGGTAGGGTATCCGTAGGTTGTTGCTAAAAGCGTCCAAGTGCCCGGTTAGAATGGAAGGTGGGAGGAAGCATTTGGGGGGCAACGATGAGGCAAGGAACCGCGCAAAAGATGGGGAAAGCAGGGAAAGACCTGTCGTGGGAAAACAAAAACCTACCTAACAGGGAGGCTACCGCTTCCACCGAAGGCTTGATGTACGTACCTCGGGTCTTTCCATTGAATCCAGGGAAAGTATCCCCGTACCGCACCGGCGGGTCCTTTAATTCGGTGTCCCTGACCCTGCGCTTGCAAATTGGTGCTATTCTCTACGTATCTTAGTACTTGTTCACTTGACCTGAGGCATTCCTTTTCTGCCCACATGTCATGCTGGCCTTCCCCACACATTGTGACGTTGGTCGGGCATGTCAGCACCGCACCCCGGTACGTACACAGTAGGTATCCAAAGGCACATGATCCTCTACCTAGGTAGCTAGATACGTAGATACGTACTCTCAAAAGACGGTCTCCCTTCCGTTGCTTTCTCTCCGGCTTCCACGTCCACTTCCACTTCCACATCCACTGCCCCGTCCCGTCGCTAATTGCAATTTGCTGGGTGTCACCGTGCCACACCGGACGAGCTTCCGTTCCTCTCATCCCGTCCTCATCCTCGGGCCTCTCCTTTCAACCTGATTCATCGTACTCCCGCCCTCCGGGCCTTTCTCTCCTACGGTCCTGCCACCTCTTTCACGATTTTTGACGATTCTGTAGCTTGTACTCATAGTCTGGTCTGTACTTGCCGACTGCCGCCTGCCTGCGATTTGCAATTCCACCTTCTTACACTAGTAGGGTGTGACAAGGCACTAAGGCAGGTGGCCCGGAGTCTTGCCGACGTCGCTCCATGTAGCAATCCATAGCAATAAGGTATCAACATGCGTCTCGCTGAGATTGTTAAAGCTTGAGACTATCCGTACAGCTTTTCCCATATAATTTTATCACGGTCGTGGACTGGAAAGCCCCCACCTACACAGTCTTTGGTGCTGGCCGAAATCATCAATTTCACAAATGCCACCCCTCGCATCCATCACTCCCTCTTGACTCCTTGAGTCGTAGCACTGCTGTGCAACCGTTAATGCCGCCGATCCCCTACATTACTGCTTGCTCCCGCTTCTCTTCTCCTCGACATCGTGCAAGTAGTTACCCACCCACCACCACCACCGCCGCCGCCACTGCTGAGCGATCCAAAAGAGATCTCCAATGGAGAAGCAAAAGTAATTGCATGCCAAGATACCTCACCGATTCGTTGGCAAATACCTATCAGACCTTCCACACTCACACTTGCTACTTCGTACTCACCTGTCTAAATGGGTAGCAGAGATATTGCTTAAGTATCAGGATTTGTCTTCCCCGACCTCCCACAAGGACCCTGGATCTCTAATTAACCAACCAACCAACCAACCCAACAACACACTACACTACATGGAAGCGAGCAGAGCAAATGCTGTTTACTACGTAGAAGTCAAACGAAACCTACCCTTTGTGTCTGCGCCTGCGCCTACGCTGTGTCTCTTCACCCGCCGCCCGCGTCTTGTGGGACCAAGTACCCATGAACACCTACCTTAGGCAGATGGGTACAGCAGTATAGTTACAGAGTACGTACGGAACCTGCACAGAGTACGCATTTCTGCCTGTCAACACAAGTAGGGATACTTGGGACTTTCCGCCGTTGAACCCCTGCCAGAGCCCAAATTGACTGATCAGCGTCTGTGACGCCATACCGTCCAAGGTCAAGACTGACACCCCCGATCTCCACCATCCATCCACGACAGGAACTCGAGAGCTCAGAGTTGGGCTACGGAGACGTATCCATCCATCCACAATCCGAGCATACATTTAGATTTGTCTGCCAGGCTCAACGCCTGGCTTCTCACTGGCGCGCGAGCCTCTCCGCCGTCCACTCCCGGCAGACAGCAGCCGGTTTGACGGCATTGGCGCCCTCCACCCATCCCCGTCTTACCACTCTTGAGTCTTTACCTACGGATACTGCCAGGAGACAGGCGGTTACTATCATGAATTCGTCTCCAGTACAAGAGCGGATTCCAATCCCCATACGACCGCCTGCCTGCCCGCCTGGTCGAAGAGGCGTAGCTGCTCAACTGCTCACTCAGCAAGACTCAAAAGCATCAAAAGTAGCCACGCTAAACATCCGCATCCGTACAAAGTATATGGAATATATATGGATACACCACGCTACGCGTCGTATGGGGCATTCGAGGGCGGCAGGTCGCGATCGAGGTGGGGGTTTACGGTCCCTTTTTCCTTCTCGCGATGGAGCAACCGTCCCGCTCTCAACCGTTTGTTCCCAATCCTGATCCTCCCGTTCCTCGTGTCACGCGGCCAAGACGATGAGAGACTCGCCCTAGGACCGACATGTCGTGACAGTGACATGGCGAAGAGAGAATTTCTTTTCTTCACCAGCGACACTCTGCTCAGTTCGAACCTCACGTCACCACGCCTCGCAGAGCCGGAAGCCGAAACTGCGCGGCTTTGGGCATCCACGATGCTTATTTCAAGACATTGACCAACATTAGCAGCCGCCAGCGGTCAAACCCACGATACCTACCACTCTGTCACATCTCGGGATACCGACCGCCGTCCGCAAAAGATGACAGGATCTTTCCCTCCCACTAGGGCAGGCCCCCAAAACTCAGTCGTCCTGTGACTCCCCACCCACCCAGACCCTCTCGGCCCCGTTCCTACATTAGAACAACCGCCCGACCCAGGTAATATTCAGCGCGACGTTGTACAGGATGTATACTAGTTGTTGCGCTTGCACACTACATTAGTTTGGCCAGCGCCACGGGTCCGACTGGGAACAAGAGACGGGGAGCACTGCGTAAGGCAGGGACAAAGAAGGCAGCACAAGGCAGAACTAGTAAGGAAAGGCTCACCGGCCAGGTAACCGAGAGAGCAAGCCGCTTGCTCGCCTGTTTGCTTGCTGTACTTGCATGCGCTGACCGCAATGGAAAACCCAATAGCTGAGCGAGAAACCGAGAAAGAAGCATATCCTTTGTGTGTCTCCGATGCAGGGACCCTGGAGAGACAGGCTGAGATCTCGGATGGCTTTTTCTTCTCTCTCGCTACACTTCCACGCTTCTTTCCAGGGCCACCTTTCTCCCTGATACACTAGCCCTCCTCCCTGCTCTCTAGAGTCTACTGATACCTTACAGTACGATAGGTCGGCCTCAGGGATGTTTTGATTTTTGTTCCCAAACCATCGACGAACCTCGTGTGTACGGATATTTACTCTTTTTCTCGCCCTCAAACACAAAGATTGGTGATTGCCCTCAGCGAGTACAGAGTACTTCGTGCCCCTCACGCAGTTTGCCTTAGCTATGACGCGGTTGCTGGCGGCTGAGAACACACCCGAACGACTGCTCTCCATGGATTCTGGCATTCTGCCCGTCTGCGCCTCCAAGAATGATCCCGGCGCCACAACCGTTGCATCTTACAGGCTGTGAACTCTCAACTCTCATCCACCACCACCACCTCCACCAGGAAACCTGACACACCGAGAGGGGCCTCGGACAAGGTACCCCGGAGCCCCTGGCATCGGCCGAGTGATGTCATCGGATCAGCGGCCGAAACTTGTCTTTCATTTCATCAGCCTCTCAGATCGTCTGCTTCGTTCCCTCAATTTTGCCTCTCGCCATGCAGCAACTGGCAGCCTGTCTCCCTGCACCGCTCCGGCAAATCACGAGTCAATCCTTCTGCCCAATCGTCGCCGTCATCCAACACTTACGCAGTACACGACGTCTCTGACCTCTTCAAGCGTGTTACCGTGGATCCCGAATTCCTTTTCATG